GTTGAGTATTTCACCACTCCTAGCAGGAGCCATGCAACCATTGCCATAGCAAAAAGTCACACTAGTAGGCTGGGGGGCTGGGGACTGGGGTGGGGCTTGGAGAGTGAGGAGACTTATGAAACTCCCTCCTCAGATGAGCCTCCACCTCCTCCAGCTTGATCAACCTCCGTTGCATTCCTTGGTATCTATAGACAGGACCATGCAATAGTTCCTCCCCAATTTATCCTTGGTCCTGTCAAGTCCCTGTTGGGCTACCAAGTTCCTTGTAACAAACTTTTCCTGGGGGGATGCAACACATACTTTTCTACTTAACCCAGGAAGCGAACTTGTAACATAGCAAAGTTATGAGTGCCTAAAGTCCAATTTGGTTAAGCAGTTATGAGCTTTAATTGGGGTTTCCAACAGGAGTGTGGGTGAGTGGTTAGTTACAGGTACTTAATCAAAAGCAGAGAATGACTCAGGAAGAGTACATCTCTGGAGCTCTGCAAAACTTGCAAAGGCTGACCTAGCCTCTAGACAGCTGGGCTACTCAGTCTCCTCCAACAGTTTTTTACTCTTCTGTAAAGCTGGGGTTGAGAGTTCCAAGTTTCTATTTGCAAGGGACCCCGGTGAAGCCCTCTCCCTCCTGGAGGGAGTGTTTCAGTTTTTAGGAAATTGCTCCAAAACATAGGAGCAAGTGGGAGTATGGTCAGGATGATATATGTGGGATTGTCCTTTGCAGCTAGTAAGTAATCTCCATGTCCTTTTGCCAGACAGTTCAGAGACGGATCCCATAAGGCCACTCAGAAAGAACTCCCTTAAGGTCTTGTGATTTATTTATAGCGTGGCCAATTTAAGCACCCATTCTTGTGTAGCCAGAATGCTGGAGTTTATCCTGGCTGTCACCAAAAAGGCCAGTGAGCAGAGACAGGAGTTGAATCTTCAAGATGTGCTTTGCTCAAAGAGCCAGCAGTCTGAGAAGGTAGATCTTAAAACTAAAACTAAAACAAAAGAACTCTGCCCAGCTCCTCATCACTCCGGAGCACACTCTACAGGAAGGAGGCAGGCAAAGAGGAAGAGAGGAGTCAGTTATTCCAGAGCTCAGTCTTGCCCTCCGGGTCAGATGGCCAACCACATTTCTTGTGATGCCTGGTCTTATCTTGTTACCATCCCCTGCTTTTTTTCCCCCTCTCATTCTGTGTATTTCTGGGCTCGGGCACATGGACAAATACCAAGTCTAGTTACTTTTTGCTGATAACATATGGCAAGAGAAGACAGTGCAGGGGTTCATCTACCTTGGATTCTTGCTGAGTCCATTTTAGTCTGAATTTGAATTTGATCTCCTTGATGGAGAATCCTAGGGAAAATTACCCAACTCTATCCTAGGATCCTGAGGTCAAGATCCCACAGCTAGTCTGTTTTAGCTTCAGTTAAAATGCCTGCTTTGTGCAGACCTTCCCCCTGCAGCTGCTGAGTGAGATACAAAGATGCAGATTTTGCATTTAAAAGTTTCTTGCTCCAAATGCTCAGGGTTGCATTTATGTCCTGAATACCTGAGTGTGGCCTAGCTGGCTGGAATAAAGACTTTCAATTGGCTATGAACTGTGTCTGAGTGGTCATCTCTGGGGTCATCCTTGTGACAGTTGACCTGTATTCCTCCAGGGGCATCTGTCCTAGGAAACAGGCGTTAACTCAGAACAAATGGTTAACACTGTATATAAATTAAGCCATTAACATATATGCGCAGATGTCTTCCTATAATCTGAAGTACCATGTGCCCTTACAATATAGAATGTAAAGTGTCTCCATCCATCCCTCCTGTCCCCTATCATTTATGTTGGTTTTGCTTCCTTTAACAATTCTCTATACTTCATTGTCTGCTCAAATAAGCTCCAAACAAACTACAAAGCATTTTTCCCCCAGCTTTATGGTACTGTGTAATGGATGCAGTCCTTTCTAATTAAAAACAAAAACAAGAATAAAACCCCCACAAGTGGCACATACCTATAATCCCAGGAATTCAAGGTACAGCTACATATAATGAGTTTGAGGCCAGCAGGCTATATCTTTTTTACCTTCTCAGGAAAAAAAAAAAAACAAAACCAAAAACCAAAAACCAAACAAACAAAAAAACAAAAAGTATAGGTTTATCTGAAATGATCCATGTCATATAGTTACTGACAACCACACTAATTAAAGCCAATTAAGAATATGAGTCCTGAGGCTGAAGAGATGGCTCAGGGGTTAAGAGCACTTACTGCTCTTCCAGAGGGTCTGGGTCCAATTCCCAGCAATCACTTGGCAGCTCACAATGTTCATATTCTAGTGGATGTGGCTAAAGGGGGGGGTG